GCAGGAATGAGATAGTACCACTCACTTGTCTCAGAAGCAACAGGGTTATTCCCAAAGTAATAGTTTAAGTACTTCTCATGTCAGCATTGAAAACTGGTCCAAATCTACTCATCAGCAGCTACTTAAGCTTCTTTAACTCTTTACTCCCTTCCTGCTTGACCTCAAAGAAAACTTGGAAACTTGACTAAAATTTCATTTTTTGATACACAGGAATTCAAAGGGACACCTTCCACAAAAAGGAATGCCTTGACCACAGGCAGGGTACCTGCTGTGCTGAGCAGGGCTCTCAGTCAAGTGAGGCCCAAGTGTGGAAAAGAACAAACAGTTCTTGGACCTAGAGGAGAAGCAGATGAGACTGAATGTGACTGCACAGCCTCGTGGTTAATACTTACCTGCCAGGAAAAAAATCCTAAGTTCCTGCCATGGGCCAAACACCTTTCTTTTTAGCGGCATTTGCTGTTTCAAAAATAATTGGGGAAATGAGGCACACTGGATTATTATCAGGTAAAATACTTCAGTGTAGTTTCAATTCAGGCACCTAATCACTGGGGAGAGTAGAGTTTTACACACATTTTTGTGCTTAGCATTACTCTTTCCTAGATTTAAGGTAGTTCTAGCTCAATATTCCTATAGTGGCAAGGGAGAAGACAACACACCTCTGAGGTGCCCAATGCTTTCTTGGGCATCTAAACGTGGACTTATGATTCTCGCTTACATATAAGGTGAATTACAACTAAATAATTTTGCCTATCTCAAAATCTCAATGAATTTCACAGATCTAAAAAGATTAACCAATGTGTTACTAGTTTTTTAAGCAGTACCTGCAAAACAAAATATATTTCTGCCCCTAACAAGAAGCCACTGCCTCCACATCTAAGTTTTTATTACTTTGGGTAATTGCTCCTCAACCCCACTGACCAGCACTCAAATTATTACAAAGTCCACTAGGTTAACTCATATAATTTTGTGAAAGTTACATGGGTGGCAGTGAATGGCTGGAGAGAGCAACTCCTATAACTGTTTCAGCTACAAAAAGACAGCTGCTATTGACACTTCAGTATTACAGTAATGTTGAAAGGAAAGCTTTTTCAAAATACCAGCTTAAGTCTAATCCTTCTTTCAGGTCAGTTCAACATCAAGACAACTGGCACAATGACACAATTTAGTCAACTCCCATGGCTACAGTTTTAAAATGGAACCTTTCTGCACCCACCCAATGGGAGTCAGAAAATATTATCAAGATTAGAAACAAAAAAAAATAAAGACAGAAAAAGCTCCATTAAAAAGAAGCAGCTATGAACATAACCATAAGGAAGAACACTTAGCTACACATTGGTATCCTCATTAAAGCATAACGAACCAACCTATTTGACATAGCACAAAAACCAGGAAATAACCTTGAATGAACAGGTTTCATGAGGGATATCATGATCACTCATACACATTTTTTAATTGATAACTGTCCAGCACATAATTAAATACAACTATTCAGCTTAATGAGAACTGACAGCTCCTGAAAAGTACAACAATCCACTTAAAGTATTTAAACCAGTTTAAGCTATATAGTTATAACTTTGAGATCGTGTTTCCTCTCAATATAACAAGAGGAATTTTCTTGAAAATCTGTACCGCTTTGTCCAACTGGGCAGTGTTTCTAACTTTACAACTTGTGCAAAGTATGTATGCAGGAGATGAAAATAAGTGAGATGTGGAAAAAATTATAAAATGCCATTGTCTAGTTCCTCCAGCAGACAGTAATCTGTGTCAGCACCTATGAACTAGCGCTGTACTGCGCTAGCAACCAATCTGAAAAATTATACTGAACTGTGTCTATAACTCACTATAAATCTGACTATGTTTCTTTAAACAAGTCATAAGCATGAGGATGGCTAGGACATTTGGGACAGTGGCCTTTGATTTGTGGTCTGCCAACCCTTTGCGACTAGGAAAAGGTAATTAAAAAAGAAGTATATTTGAAGTAAGAGGAAATTTAGGTTTTGGTAAAGAGATACTTCAGCTGGAAAATGGTTTGGAGTTTGCAAATAAAAAAAGATTGAAAAGGAATTAGATTGACATTTTGATGTCGTCTTTCAGCTGTGCGAAATTATAGCTTCTGTATATAACCTGTTTGTTATACACTGCATTTTGTGCACCAATAGTGGATATAAGTGTCTTCGTGAATATAAATCTTTACTAAAACCAGATGCCTTTCATGAGATTATAATGACTACTAAAATGTTCAGGCCAGTTCTCTGAATTTCTGTTTCTTTGTGGATTAGAAGAAAAAACAATTTTATGCATCTTGAGTATCTCATACATTTCAATTAATCAAACCAAGTACACAGCTATGAAAGATTTATTACCTTATGGAAGGAAATAGAAATCTAACCTCTTTTTTCGATAGGATAGTAACAATGATGTTAGTGATGACAAGGACTAATCTATTAGATTATGAGCATGACACATTTATTTAAAGAAAAATATTTTATCAAGCATTCAGAATAATTTATTAGAACATAATAAAACTCTTCCCTTGTCTACTATTCTTTATGGCTAAGTCCAAATAGTATCTGCCTCTCACACACATGATTTTCTCCAAAATTGCCTAATTTAGCCTCAACTCCTTCTGCCTTCAGATTTTTGTTTACAACGTCTGTAATTCCAGTTCCGAGAATAACCTCAAACAAATAATAAAAAATTTTGTACCCTATGCTAAAAGTGATTGTTGTTTTTTTTTCCTTACGGTCACATGCCTTTTGCTCTCCCTGGGTATGCAAACATTTTCTTCACTTTCTTTTTCAGTGTTCCAGTGTTTTCTCTCAGCATTAGTGGATTTATGTTCCATGACTATACTTACCTACTGTGAGAATCTCTCTATTACTCTGCCTTAATTGTATTGCAAAAATAGTGCAGAGTGAAAAAAGCAGGACAGGCAAAACAGGGAACATCCCTAAATATCAAATAAAACAGCAAAGCTGTTCACATAAACCTGAGAAGAGAAAGCATATAAAAACATTACAGACCAAGACCAAATGGGGGTTTTGGGCAGGTCTTGGGGATACCATCAAAAGATGTTAAGACTACAAAGGTTCACACAGAGAGTATTTTCATCATTTTAGGTGATCTTTGAAGGTTACAATCTAACTAAATCCAATTGTCTTGCTTGAAAGAAAATAAACTTAGAGCTTGAACAGCACTTCAGATATTCAGAAATTTTAAAAACATGAAACAACTGTGAAGAGCTTTCAGGCCCTCTCTTATAAATGAAGAAGTAAGATTTGAAGGGTTTGATACTGAATGACTTGAAGATACCTATGTAGAAAGCTAATACAATTTCAGAGACTATGGTCTGAGGATGTAAAAAGCAGACAATACCTGTCATATGTTTAGCTCTCATTTGGCTTGTGTGCATGGTAATTTTTGATAAATTTCCAACTACACTCAAGTGACCTCTAACTTCTCAAAATAATCATCATGCTCACTCTCTCTTTATTAATTCTGACATTCTCCAAGAGAAAAGTATTCAAGATTTTAAAAGAACACTGGGGGCACAGACAATCTAGACAATTTTAAAAATAATAAAAAGTTATTTGAGCTGCTACATATGTTGTTGAAGCCTTAAAGATTTTATTGTGCAACAACCTCAAGTGCTTGCAGAATTCTTGTACTGTTTGCTACAGTCAGAAACTAACGCAGAACCTTGGGTTCATGACCCTCTCTTCAGGTCACAGCACAGTATTTTACTATATTATACCATGACATATAGCATAGTAATTCTGACGGATGGCACGGGATCCACATTTCCCAGTTTTATGAAAGAGCAGAATGAGAAAGAGTTTGAAATCTTCTCATGTACTTCAGGCTCTTCTGCTTTCATTTAACTTCTGGCATTCCACAATGCTTTATAAAAATACTTCTTTTTTTTTTCCTTTTACTCAGCTGAGAAGGATGTGCACTGGAAAAAAGGCATGAACACGGCTTGTACAAAATAAGCAGAGAAAATCTTTTCCCTTATCTCGTTTCTCTCCGTTGTCAGAGAGGTTGCTGTGACATCAATCATTCAAGTAATTTCACAGAAAAGTATGATTACGCTTTCATAGTGCTTCAGTATTTTTGTGTGTATATAACAATACTTGCTCTTGATCTTTCACCACCGCTCCCCGTACAAATTCTATGTATGAATACATAGAAAGTCAGGAAGCGGTGATCCCTTGTCAACAGTGAAAACTACCTTCTAGTCCACCCAGAATAAATGGTTTCTTTGAGAGAACTGGAAAAAAAAAATCAGCTAACTCCTGCCAATGCACATCAAATAAGGAACCAATCTGGTGCCTTGATTCAGTAACTACGCCAAGAGGGCCAACAGGGTGCCAATTAGCACTAGCTGTAGTGAGGATACTGGTACAGACTCTGTTTCATGTCATTGCCTCACTTCACCTAGGTCACTCAGCAGCTGTCAGATAGCTGCAACTTTCATGGCTGCCCTGCACCAGGCACACCTAGAAGCAAACCACAAAGTATTCCAGTTGTAAATCCCTGGAACTTTCAGCATATTACCTGGAAACTGTTGTGAGCCTGGCTTAACAGAGAGCTCTGGCTCGAGCTCAGGAAAAAGAGAGTTTATAATCTATGAAAGAAGGGGCAGGCATCACAGGAGGAGTACAGGGCTATCGTGAGGCTGCACAGGGAGAAAATTAGAAGGGCCAAAGCGCAGCTGGAACTTAATCTAGCTAGTGCTGTTAAAGACAATAAAAAGGGTTTCTATAAATATACTGGCAACAAAAGGAGAACTAAGGAGAGTCTTCCCCCTCTTGTAGATGTGGGGGGAATTATAGTGACTGGGGATGAGGAAAAGGCTGAGG